CAGTGTGCAGTGCCTGTGCAACCTCCGCCGAGCAGCTGGGTGTCGCAGGGCGGTGGCGTGCGCAAGTGTGCACAGCGTGTGCCCAACTAGGACGCCCGGCCATGTGTGCAGTGTACTGGCTGTGAAGGGGTCCGGAATCCACCACTGCTCCAGCTTTCCTGAAGCCTAGGGAGGGCAAAAAACGGCCTCCCCTGGCCCTCTGGAAATGTGAAAAATCAGCTGGCTAGTGTGCGCATCTGAGCTAATGGCTGCATGCCACCAAACATGGCTCTACCTGTGGCACATGTGCCATAGGTTCACCTTCACAGCTCTATACGCTTTATGTGCATGCATTCCCACTCATGCTAGTAATGCTATTACTAAATTTGCAAATGATACAACAGTGGTGGGACTCATGGGGGAGGGGGAGAATGAGTCTGCCTGTCGAGATGAGGTGGACCGGTTGCTTTCGTGGTATGGAGACAATAACTTAGTCCTTAACACCAATAAGAACAAGGAGCTCATAGTGGATTACAGAAGGAATAGATCAGACATCCAGCCCTTGGGTGTTGTCATAAAAGAGGACCTGGCCTGGAGCGCTTACATTGCAGCCCTGGTCAAAAGGGCCCAGCAGAGATTATGCTACCCGAGACTTCTCAGGAAACAGCAACTGAGTGGAAAACTGCTGGTGACCTTCTACCGTTGCACCATAGAGAATATTTTAACTTACTGCACTTGTGTCTGGTTTGCCAATTGCACAGTGGCAGATAGGACAGAGCTCCAGAAGGTCAACGTCATTGTCCAGAGGATCATTGGCTGCCNAAAATAAAATCAGATGAAGAAAGATGCCCAGGCAGAAGGCACCCTGGTGCTTATGAGTAAGGTACAGAAAATTGAAGCATTAACCAAATCATGTTCTGGGTATTCTTATTTTTCAATTCTTATTTGTAGAAATAGTTCAATAAATAAAGGGGAGTATTTGTAGGTCAGGATTGAAATGGGAGATCCTTGATGTTCTCTGAGCTTGGCTTTTTTCTTGCAGACATTTCGTTACCCAAACTAGGTATCATCATTGGTGCTGGTATCTAGTTTGGGTAATGAAACATCTGCAAGAAAACAACCAAGCTCAGAGAATACCAAGGATGCCCCCCAGAAACAGTTCAGCAGAACTGATCAAGCACTGTGTGTGTCAGGGCTCCAAGTTAACACCCCCAACGGAAGAATCTGGAGGCTTCAAGTTCCTCAAAAGTTCCATTTTATTAGAGATGTCATATTGGCACATCTGGAAAAACCTGAATTTGAAAGTTTCCAGGTTTTCCCCACCCAAAAGAAAGTCCAAGCACCTACCCGGTACCCACATGTCCATCATATGACCCAATCAGGGCACTGTCCCAACTGGAGATGCCTCTCAGTCACACCCCTCCAGGTGCGGGACGGAATGTCCTTGACTCTCAGAGAAAGGAATGTTATTATGACTATTTCTCTCCCCAGCTCCATACAATCCCCCCTCCCAATTTCCCACAGCACTAAATGCGGCAGTCCTGAAGATCGAATACCCAAGATGGCTTCCAGGCCTGACAGCGTGTTAACATGTGTGCTAACAGTAGTGGTTTAGGGTGATACCTATAGGAAGCCACTTCCATGAAACTTATTCAAATCAAAACATCTCAATTGGATAGAGAAGAAACCTCAACCACAGAATGGTTTTTCAACTAATCGTGACCAGCTCAACCCTCCCATTATAGCATCCCCTTTAAATGGTTTGTACATGTCCAGGTACAGGTAGTCCTTGACTGGCAACCACAACTGAGCACAAAATTTATGTTGTTGAGAATTCGTTATGTGAATTTTGCCCACTTCACAAGATTTCTTGCCACTGTTGTTAAGTGAAACACTGCAGTTGATAAGTTAGTAATCTGGCTGTTAAGTGAATCTGGTTCCCCGCTGACTTTGCTTGTCAAAAGGTTGCAAAAAGTGATCACATGACCCTGGAACGGTCTTAAGTATGAAGCAGTTGCCAAGCATCTGAATTTTGATCACATGATCCTTGAGATGCTGCAAAGGTTGTAACTGTGGAAAACAGACATAAGTCATTTCTTTCAGTGATGTTACTTTGAATGGTCATTAAATGAACTGTTGTTAAGTCGAGGACTACCTGTACATAACCGTATAGTCTTGCCTTTGCAATTGCCCCCCAAATATCCTTAATATAAAATTCAAATAACCCTGTACCATCCAGAACTGGCAGACCTAAATTCTCAGTCCATCAGTCTGAAAAATATGAGCTGAACTTTCAATACAACTGGAGAATATAGAGTTGGGGAAGTTTGCATTAAATGGATTAGGATTTTCTCAAAATCACAAAATAAATTCCAAGCTTGATATTTCTGTAATTGCACAATTCAAAAGATATTCCTGAATAGAAAGATTTCAAGAAAACAAGAAGAGACTATTTCAAGTATTCTTCTTTCATGTAAATTTTATTAATTATAACTGATAAATTTAAGTAGATTCTTAACTTACTAAGTATTTTGTAAGTTTACTGGTAAGAAACTGGTTTTAAAACCTTCAGTTTTAGGACATAAAGAATGGTACCAACTCTGGATGCAATGCCCATTAGTTCCTTGCTATTAAGGGATATTTATTAGGAAACTGGGAAAACTACATAACACTTTTTAATAATCTTTTTTAAATTAACTTTCTTTTCCACTTTCTCCAGGACATATAAAATGGTAATAAAGAAAGAAAAGAAACATAAAAAATTAATCCAGCTGAATAAAAGGAGTCCCAGATGTTCTGCCTAAAAGGGTTCTCTCCATGGAGCCAGCCATCTCAGCACGCAGAGGCCATCAACTACCTTTTACAGGTAGTTCTCCACTTAGAACCACAATTAAAATCTTCCATTGCTAAGAAAGAGAATTCTGTGAATTCTGCCCTATTTTAAGTTCAGAGATAATCATAGAATTTACTTGCCCCCTGGTTGTGTTTCATTTCCTCAATTTCTACTGCCCTGTTACTCTAGGTCAAGAACTTTATAAATTATGCATTGGGGGAGGGGGCTCAAGAGGGGACCTACCTATTCGGATCGCCTGATTCTGAGAATGCTGTGAAGGATAATACTCGCTTGAACTACCCAAATAAATTACTGAGGGATTCACCACCTTGTGCACATTTACCATAATTCCTTACACAAATCAGACCCCTTTTCTCTAAACTTGTAATACCTACTTTGTCAGGTGAATGATTTTTGTAAAATCTCAGGTGGAAGCCCTTCCCAAGATGAATATTGGCATGCAGAGGTAGCCCATTTGTCTCCTAAAATTACTGAGAACAGCTTATAGATGTGCCACGCCTAAGAACTTCCCCTGTAGCATCACTGCCCATCTGTGTAAATGTACCTTAAACTGACTTACAGACAGAGAGAAACCAACAGTGATTGTTATATATTTCACAGACTGGTAAATGGTTATTATCGAGTCATCTCTGCACTCTTAAGACCTCCTTTCAGGAAACCTGCTAACTTAATGTGGTAAGCAATACACCACAAATAAATCAATAATAATAAATTAAATTGGTGAGATTCTGATTTTGAGGCATAAAAAAGCAACATGCCCTTTCATTTCCCCTCTCTGACACAACCTGTAGACTCCCAAGTCACAAGGTTCAGCATTTCTGCAACACTCCCAAGCAGGTTCAGTGACTGAGCCTTGTATGCAAAAGCTGCATCCTCCCCAAGTAAACTCCCCCACAGCAATAGCAATAGCAATAGCAGTAGACTTATATACCGCTTCATAGGCCTTTCAGGCCTCTCTAAGCGGTTTACAGAGAGTCAGCATATTGNAATAAAAACAAGGACAAATAGGCTGAAAAACAGCTTCTAGAGCAGTAACTATATTGAATTCTACTGTATAGTGCAGTATCAATGCAGTATCAGGGTTTTCAATTTCAATTGTATAGAACGTGAAGGATGTGTGTTAGTGTTTTATTTTTGTAGTTATAATGTATATTGAGGATGGCATTTAGTTCCTTTGTACGAGGTGCAATGACAATAAAGTAAACTTATCTTGTAACTATAGTTTAGGGGTGGTCACCAGATGATGGGAACTACAATTACCACAATCCCACGTTTAAGTGAACTATGGAAGGCCGGAGGGGCCACTATTGTTTCTTCTGATAAACGCATCAGTCCAAAGGCGCAAAGGCTTACAAGGAAAGGCCATTCGGCAGCGAAGGGTCCGGGCAGTCGAGCCTCCCCCCTCGGGCCACTATCTTTCCAAGCTGCTCCAGACCGAAATCCTCTTCACAACCACACGCCAAGTCTTGCGGCGCCTGGAGGGCCAGCCTGGGAACGCAAGGCCCGCTGTCTCCGGCCCGGCGCCCACCAAGGCCTCGCGATTCCCAAGGAAGGTTTCCCAAATGGGAGAAGCAAGGAGCCCCTGGAAGGAAAGCGGGGGAGAGGGGCGGCCTCGACCACTTTTGGGCTCCCGGTCGCTTCGGAGCCCGGGCCCAGCTTCCCCAGCCGGGCGCTCGACCGCCATGCGCGGGGCCTCCGAGGGTGGAAGCGAAGGTTCCCCTGGCCGGAAAGCTCAGCGGAGGGAAAGCGGGGGAGGGACGGAGAGAAAGGAGAGGCGAAGCGGCTTCTTCCCTTCCCCCCCCCCCCCGAGTAGCGCCCCGCTGAACTGCCCGCGCGCCGCACCGGATAGCCGGACGCCCCGCGCTAAAGGCTGCGCCCTCCCCGCCTCAGGGAGACGGAGCGCCGCTTTTTGCCCCGGACGCCCAGCTTCGCCGGGGATCGCGGTGTGCGGCGGGACGAGGGGCGGCCTGGCTCTCGTCGGCGCCTCCAGACGCCTCGCCGGCCACGCCCCTCCGCCTGGAGCCGCCGCCGGAAAAGGGGGGACGCTGGGCGGCCGCCGGGGCGCTCTGGGATGGAGACCCGACCTGACGCGCGCGGGAGGGGGACGGGGGGAGAGAGAGAGGAGGGGAGAGAGAGAGAGAGAGAGAGACTCCGCCGGCTGCCTCACCCATGTTCGCCGCTCCGTCCCTCCTTCGCCGACAATATGGCGGACAGGCCAATGGGCCGAGCAGACGGGCCGGCGGGGCGGGGAAGCAAGGCGGAGTTTAACAGAAGCGACGGCGGCCGAAGCGAGACAGGACGCACGGCGAGCCCTCGCGCCGAAGCTCCGCCCTCGCAATGCCGCCTCGCTGGGACCGCTGCGGCTCGGGGCTTGCGGGCGCCTCCCAGCGGCCGGCCGTGAGCTGCAGGCGAAGCGCTGGTGGGGACCCGCCAATCGGCTGGCGGAGCTGCTTCTTGGGCGCGTATGCAGCACCGCAGCCCAACTGTGCGGGGACTCCCATCACCCCCGGCTGCTGTCCTGCGACGCTCTCGGGATGCCCCCTCCCCCGCGTCCAAAGCCCCAGATCCAGGATCTCTGGGGGAGAAGAGCAAGAGGGAGAGTCTTCTCTTAACTTTCTTCCAGGAAAAGAACATATTTTTAATTTGAATTTATTTTATTTTTCAGTGTTTTTATGCAATTTAGAAACGGCCCATCTGCCTCACAGGATGATTCTGGGCATAAAACTGTACACAATATAAAAGTGCTCTGGGAGCCCCCAACAGATGGCCAGGGGTGTGGGTCTCAAGATTTTTTCAAAGGCCCAGGAGAGGGGAAACACCACCACCCCGTTGCCTCTGAGAGAGAATGCCAATACAGGAATATTTTTAACAGCAATTGATTGGCTAAGCAAGCTATTTACTATATCTTTTAAAAATCTGGCCTTTTTTGTTTGTTGTTTTTACTCAGACAAATGTTCATGTGCCTACAATTAAAATACACAATGTGATTTTAAAAAAAACAAGTCAAGATCATCAAACAGAGACTGTCATACTTTGGTCATGTCATGAAAGTTGCCTGGGGGTGTGTGTGTTTCAGTCCTGCTGGGGGTGATCACTGGCAAAAGGAGAAGGGGCCGTTCAAGCTGGCTGGGCACTATAAAGGATGATACTGGGATGATGGTGGTGGATCTGAAGAGGCAGTGTGAGACAGAGGGGCATGGAGACTGCTGACCCATAGAGTGGCCGAGGGTTGGACATGACTGATGACAACGATGCCACCTGGCAGCATTAAAGTTTTCGGGAGAAGTTCTGGAGCAGAAGCCGGCCTCTTTGACTCAAAGCCACCTTCTAAATTCCACTGGAGGCCAAGAGAGGGAAGTGACAGACAGAATGGAACCCCCCCCCCCAATTCCATTTTGGAAAACAACTGGATCCCCTCTGTGGAGATCACTTCAATTCCCACACTCGCAGACCTGGAAATGAACAGGAAGAAAGAGGAGCTATGTAGTTCTGCTGTCTGAGAGGACAGAGGAAGGACAGCCAAGAAGCAGACTCTATTACTAGGACTGGTTGGTTCACATTATCCAGTGGATGGGCCAGCCCCATTATGGGTGGACTGGGGAAACTGGCTACTAGCTAATCTCTGCGCACACTGATGGATGCTTCCTTTTGTGATTCCTTGAGACTGGGCCTTGAGCTTCCCACCTCTGTTGAAGCCTCAACTCGGCTCCCTCTGGTGTCAGTGGGGAGGGGGTTTGGGCAGAGAGAAACAAATCAGATTTCCAGGAAGGACAGTCACAGAAACATTTTAAGGTGTCCTTTTATTAAAATGTGCGTCACTGTTCTGTGTGGCTTGCTTCACTGTTGTCTGGCTGTCAGTGTGTTTCCTGGGACAGCCGCTGTGGCCTCAGCACTTGAGCCGACCTGGGGGAGTCTTCAGGTAGTTCGTGGCCTGTGGCTCCCACCCATGGCAATGTAGACATCAATGGGGACATTGGGCAAGGTCAGGCAGTGGCACCCTGGACATCTTCGCAGCTGCCTGCCCAGGAAAGAAAGGGAGGGAGAACCATTGGGTTTGTTAGAAAGTGCAGATGCACTGCTGCCCAAGACAGCAAAATTGGTTCCAGGATGTCCTCCTTTAAAAAAACTTTGTGCTGGCTGAGAGCCTGAATTCCTCCACAGTGCCACCACCTAATCCAGGGGAGGAAATAATAGGAAACTGATGTGCTGCAAAGCAAAGGACCAATTCCAGCATCAACATAATTTCTACTCATGCTGCTAGATGCCTGGGCATATATACTTCCTAAGAAGGCATGCTGCCCAAAATGGGGAAGAGACATTGAGGTAGTAGAAGGGGGAAGCTTCTGATGGAACCATTTTAGCAGTGTGCCTATTCTGCTCGATAGATCTTTGGAACCAACCACATCAGCAGGACAAAGTAAATCTCCACAGGTCATTGCAAGAGTGGTTATAATGAAAACCGCCCCTTGGCTACTTGAGCACCATGTCACAACATTGTTGTGAAGAGGTGGAACTCGTCCCGTGAGGTCACCATGGGCATTGGTCACTTTGGCTTCATTGGGGTTAGGGATGGCTGCCAATGCTCCTTTTTCCCTCCCCACAGCCCTGCCAGCCATTCGGTGAGCATCTCTACCTCGTGCCTCTGCCCCAATCTTCTGCTTTCCGTGCTTCAATCCGACAAGCCCCTAAATCCTTTCTAATAAGCTACTACTATACAACTAAGGATACAAACTTAGTTTCTTTAGACCAGTGGTAGTCAACCTGGTCCCTACCGCCCACTACTGGGCGTTCCAGCTTTCATGGTGGGCTGTAACTCTGCTTTATAAATTTTATAAAGTAAAGTTACTTCCCTACTTTATAAATCATCATTATTATGGAATCGGTGGGTGGTTAGAAAACTTTACCGCTACCAGAGATACAAAAGTGGGCGGTAGGTATAAAAAGGTTGACTACCCCTGCTTTAGACCATGTTTCTAGGAAAATGGCTCTTTCTAAAATACATTTTAAAACTCTTAACAAATAATCAATTTTTTTCATAAATTGTAACAATTTCTTTCTTCCACGTGTCCCATCTACAGGCACTGGGACCAGAAATTCCATGGCTAAGCAAGGCAGTTGTGAAGTGAGCTACAACCACTTTTACCATCTTTTCTTGCACAATTGTTAAGCAAATCACTGCAACTGTTAAGTGAATAACATGGCTGTTGAATAAATGCAGCTCTTCCCATTGACTTTGCTTCTCAAGCAGGCTGGGAAGGTCGCAAATGGAGATCACATGACCCTGGGATGCTGCAACCATTATATAAATACATGCCAAGTATTGAGCACCCCAATTTTTATCAGATAAATGTGGGGATGCTGCGATGCTTGTGAGCACACGAACCTGTTGTAAGTCACTTTTTTCAGTGCCGTTTGTAACTTCAATTGTCGCTAAATGAATGGTTACAAGTTGAGGACCACCTGTACCAGGTGTTCAGCTCTGGGCTGGCTTTCTAAGCTAAGTTAACATGGGGCTCGGTGATTGCTGGAAGATCCAACTCTGAATTGCCATTTACCTGACTTCCTGAAAAGGACATTCGTATATTCCGGTGGGCCACTTTTCTTTCCATAGGGAGACCACCACCCCCTTTCCCACTCTTAGACCAGCTGGTTGCTCACAGCAGAAAATACAGGGAATGAATGACTGTCATGCTTCTCCTTAAAATCCAAGGAACAACACGCGCAGCTTTGCTTCTCTCTGCCAATTCTGTGCTCACCTTGTTGCAGCGCGCTCGGGGGCAACGGGCTCCTGAGTTTCGGGGGCCGTTGCCAGGCTGGGAGAATCTCCTGCCTCTATTGGAAATCTCCGAGCTTGTGGGGTCTCTTGGGAGCTCATGTCCGAGCCCCAGACCTGTCTGTTGAAGAGGAGAAGGGTGAGCAGGACCTCCTTTGTTCAACGCTACACGTTACCCCACTTTGGAGACCCCCAAATGGGCCTAGAATTGCCTTTGGAAAGGGTGGCCATGAGGACAAGGCAGAGGACTAAGAAGAGCAACCCAACACCAGCTAATCTGGCAATACAAGGAGGCCCCTAGAGGGTCCCAAGGAATTTCTGGGGGCCCCACACTCAGACATTCATTAGCCCATTGCATGACTGTGATCTGAGAAGTTAATTTTAGATTTTCAAGTCTTATTTTTTGCATGCAATGTCTCAAAATTATTTTAACACATAAATGGAGTTGGAAAAAGAAGTTGGAAGTCAGTTGACCAAGTTGGAAATGAAACCAAAGAATCCCTGCGTCTTCTCTCCACTGGTCTCCCCCAGAGTTTTGTCTGGTTCCACCATTACATCGTCCAGGAGAGACCTAGTTCTCCTGGGCCTATCGAGCCACCTTCAGGGTTTGTTTTGTTTTATTTTGATTTGGCTTCTTTGGCTCTTGTTTTTATTTTATTTTGCTCTTCTGATCAGCTGTCTTTCTTTTAATATTTGACTTTTAATTGTAAATCACCCATGACATTTAGGAGTCAGCCAGCCTATAAATTAAAATTTAAAAAGATTTTTTTTAAATGTAACAAGTGTATCCTATGCATGGTGATGTCACCAAATTCTTAGTTCTTCTATATTCCTGATTAATGTAACCCAGCCTTGATGGGACCACAGGCTATTAGAAACTACTTCATAACCAAATCCATGGCCGATTTGTCCTCCATCTGCCCCATATCTGGACAGCTCTTCATCATACAATGGCTCTACTTGTAATTTAAATTTGAACATATGACTTTTGTGGCACCTGGATCCTGGCACAGAAATCTTCTGTGGGAGAAGTGTCCTAGCGTGGTGGTTTCAAACAGAGGCTCAGGGGTTGAAGTCTGAAGGCCTTCCTCGTTGGGGAACAAGGTCAAGGTGGGTGGCATTACCCATCCCAACATCAAGGAGCCCAGTGGTTTTCCTCCTCTCTCAGAGCCTCTCCCTCCCCACAACTCTCCCCTAGCCTCACCAATCGAAGGAAGGCGGAGGAGTGCTCCCTACAGTCGACCTGGCAGCTTGAAGGGCCTACTGCAAAGGGCAGGCTGGGAGAGAGCCTAGAGGGAGGCCACGACTCCACTTCCATTGTGACACAGAAGGGTGGCGCCTGCATCACAATGGGACCTGATCTTCTCACTGCTTGGAGTTCTAGGCTAAGGAATACCAGGCCTCCCTCCAGTCATCTTCAGACCATTCCTTTCCTGAGCCTCTAACATCAAACGGGGGATTCTTTCTGGGATTTCTCCAGGCATCCACGTGGTGGGCAGGAATGGAGAGCCAATGATCTCCCATGAAGAAGACAATAAGGTCAATACGAAAAGCCCAAAAGCCTGGCTCTACTGCTTGGCCTGGGGCCACAACGGGCTCACTATGTTGGGGGTGGATGACCATCAGGTAAAGAAGATTCTCTCCCTCATGCTGCCCATCATCTTGGTTTTTAACTTTAAAATTTTTTATTCATTTTTTCTACTTTTGTTTTTAAGCACCTTTTAACTTTTTATTATATTGTAAGTCACCCAGAGTTGCTGTGCCAGTGAGATGGGCGGCATAGAAATGTAATAAGACTCAGCAGAGTGCAGGTTGAACACCAACAGCAGTCAGAGAACATGACTGAAACTCCTTAACTTCACAACACATGGACAGACTTAACAGGAGGTGCAACTGGGAAACTGTGACCATCCTAGAGCAAACCAAGTCCAAAAACGCTAGGGAATTTCTAGAAGCCTGGCAATTAACACGCACACAGAGACAAACAACATCTATATACTATTCAAAGGAGACAATTAAAAAGCCCAAAAGAAAACAAATAGAGCTAAATACCTTTTCATCAGCAATCAATACCCAGATGAGCACAGCCAACAGCAATGTTAACATTAGAAACAAGCAATACTCTGATAAAGGAACCAGCAATTTAGACTAAAAAGCTGACAGTAAACAACAATCCACTCAAGGAAGCATCAGGACCACTCCCACCAACACTGACAGGGCAAGCCACTAGTATATAAAATCAGAGCAAAGCCCAGTCCTTACTAGCACTGATGGTGTTACCTAGTTTGGGTAATGAAATGTCTGAAAGACACAGCCAAGTTCAGAGAACACCTAGGACACTACAAATTAAGTAAACAAATAATTTAAAAACCATGTTGAACCTCCAGAGCAAAATTTACTAAGGAGACTAATACTTTCTACATAATGCTGTGTTCTACAAGCATTTGCTTATAAAGAGCAACGGATTGCCAGTCATCCTGGATTACAGCAGCTATACTTGTTCTGGGGCTTTTTTTTTGAAAGAGACTTTGCCTCAGCTGGGGAAAAATAACAAAAAGCAAAGTCTGCTCTTAAATTGTCTCAGGAGTGGAGATTTCTCAGGAGAAATGTGATGCCTGTTTTAGTTTCTCCAGATCTGGACTGTCATAACATTCACCTACAACTACAACTACCTACAATTACTGACTGTGAATGAAATCTATGCTCCCAGTGTTCAAGATGGCAGCTTCCAGGTTGGTCAAAAGTAGTCATGCTACTTCAAAAGCCACTTTTAAGAAGTCCATAGAACAACACCAGCAACTAAGGAAATCTTTCTGTTTAAAAACAAGGAGTCTGAAGATCAAACGGGTTAGGGGAAAAACAGCTGCAGCCAACTTGAAGAATGAGCATACACAATTTTGTGATGAGCCTACCATGAAACTGAGCTTTGAAAGGGTTTATGCTTAAACATGACAAAGATGCATTAGACTAACAGTAGAAGGGCTTCCTTGCAGCAGCCATCCCCACATCATGGCTGCCCAGGATTCAGCTTCTCTCATGCCCAGATTAGGTAGCCTGACTATCAAAGTAATCATTCTGGTTACCTGACAGCAAGACCAGAATCAGGATGCAGAGGTGCCTCACCACATCTACTTTGGAATTGCTGTGATGCACTATGAGTTGGATTTTGAGAAGAAAATATGGGCTTAAATGTTCCACTTTTATATCTGGCTACCACAGGTTCTCTTATGTCCCTGTAAATGAATTATACAGTTCTGTTAATTTAGACATAATTATTAGTTATGTCTTAGGTTATTATTAGGCTTTCTGTTGTGATGTTTCAAATGTTTGCCCTAAGAATTTGATCTCATCAAGAAAGGCAATATTGAAGATGTCACAAAGAAGAGGGGGGTCAACCTATTTTCCAAAGCACCAGAAGGCAGGACAAGGAGCAAAGGATGGAAACCAATGAAAGAGAGAACCAATCTAGGACTTAGGAGAAATTTCCTGACAATCAACCAATGGAATGTCTTGCCTTCAGAAGTTGTGGGTGCTCCAACACTGGGGGATTTTAAGAAGGGACTGGACATCCATTTGTCCAAAATGGTCTAAGTTCTCCTGCTTAAGTAGGGGGTTGGACTAGAAGACTTCCAAGGTCCTTCTGTATTCTGCTAATATAATTCAGCTGTAGCCGCTGTGGTTGCTGATTGGTAAACCATCATTTCTCTTGGAAGCAGAAAACAACCATATGTAGTAGCTTAGGTTGAAAGATGGCGTCTTTATCCACACCAGTATCATAATTCAGAGATCCAAACCAGATTTTATTTTTATCAATATAAGACTGTATGGATCAGATTTCTCTATAACCTTGTGCCCTCTGGGTATAGTAATTGCAATTCTCAGTTAGGACTGAGGAAAGACACTCTTCGGAATCTTGTAGAATCTCCCTATCCTAACCAATTCAATTGCTGGTTTTCAATGAATGATCTAGATTCCAGTACATCCAACAAGTACAACTCCTTAAGAAATTATCATCTTAAATAAGACAAGAGTTTGAGGGACTTGTGATACTTACTCTTAAGGCTGGACTGATGTAACTAGGCCCAAACCCTGCCAAGTAGCTTCAAGCCAGCAGATTTCCATGGTGTGGACAACTTAACCATCCATGTCCAACCTGATCATGATTAGCCTTACCTACACTACAATACTAGCTACAATGATTTCTTATCCAAGGCCTCACAGCTTTGGGCCTCTTGTTAGGTTAACCCATCATCCCCCTGAAGGGTGAAGCCTGGAGCAACCCTTCTTCTGAGGAGGATGTGTGCCTGCTTCTCATTGGTGCCAAGTCCCTACCTTTCCCTCTGGTCTTCAGGTAACACAAGGTTGCATCACAATGGAGGCTCAAGTTTCAAGATGTCCAATCTCAGTTTCACCCCTCATCGAAGGACCTTGTCTGGGCAGGAAAAAATGATCTAGCATCCTGGGCTGCAGTCAATGCAGACCCTGGTCTGGGTGGAGAAGGACAGCGATGTATAGACTTTGTGATGACAGGATGTCCTGAGAATGACAGACGAGCGAGTGAAAGACACGATGGAGGAGTTTCTTCTCTCCCATGGTTACCAGATGGGCAAAACCATTGGAGAAGGAACATATTCAAAGGTCAAAGAAGCCTTTTCAAAAAAACACCAACGAAAAGTGGCTGTGAAAATTATAGACAAACTGGGAGGACCAGAAGGTAAGAAGCAGAACACAAAAAGTTAAAGCAAGACAGAGCAGATGGAATGGGAAAGGGCGTGTTTTTAGAAATAACTGAATTTCAGTTTCCAAGGGCCAAATTTTCCACACTACAATATTTTTTCCAATAAAATTTGTCCCTTCTCTAAAGAAAATCTACACTGCCATAAGCATAGAATAAAATCCACTATGGCATCAATACAAATTAGATAATGTCTTCTTCCCATGATATCATCATGATATAAGTGATTTTACTTACTGCTTCCTGATGCTTCGGTGTGTTGTCCCTATAAACATACACTATATTGCCAAAAGTATTCGCTCACCCATCCAAATAATCAGAATCAAGTATTCCAATCACTTCCATGGCCACAG